TGGCGCCTTCAATAACTATACGACTACCTGAGCCTAACTGACTGTTCAAATATGATACCGTATCCGTTATACAGGATCTAATTTCATCAACAATTTTTTGTAAGGCGTCGTTCACATATTACGTTTGCACTTTTTAAGAAATCTAGACCCCCTTTCTCCCCTATGTTCGCAATTGTTCGCATGTAATCAATTAAAAATCGTTATTAAATATTTATATTAAATTAATAATTATTAAATATTTATATTAAATTAATAATTATTAAATATTTATATTAAATTAATAATTATTAAATATTTATATTAAATTAATAATTATTAAATATTTATATTAAATTAATAATTATTAAATATTTATTTATATTAAATTTATATTTATTAAATATTAAATAAAGTCACTAAAAATACAATTATTTTAGAGTTTAATTTTTTTTTTTGAATATCATTTTTAGTATAAAGCAAATTAGCACAAAATATGCACAAAAAAACAAAAACAAAAAATTATTAGAAACAATAACAATGATAATAACATATTCATTACTAACTGATCTCTATTTGTCTATATATATGTGTGTATATATWTGTGTATATATATATATGTGTATATATATATATGTGTATATATATGTGTATATATATGTGTATATATATGTGTATATATATGTGTATATATATGTGTATATATATGTATATATATATGTGTATATATATGTATATATATATGTGTATATATATGTGTATATATATGTGTATATATATGTGTGTATGTGTATCTATGTATATATATATATATATATATATGTATATGTATATATGTATATATGTATATATATATGTATATATATGTGAATATATTTTCGTGTGTATAAATGTATATATATATTTGTGTGTGTGTGTGTATATATATATATACATGTATATATGTATGTGTATGTATGCATGTGTATACATGTGTGTGTGTGTGTATGTCATATGTGTGTGTATGTGACTTATTTAACATTTATCATTATCAAATTTATTATTTTAAACAATTAAAACAATATAGTATTTTTCCGTTACTTAAAATTACCAAGCAAAAATTATAAAATTTATTTTAAAAATATATTTAATGATAAGTAGTTAATAATAATAATATATTTAAACAAACAATACATTTAATTTCGTCACTAATTTCAATGCAATAAAAATCAGTTGCCAACTGTCCTCTCAAACATAATTGTAACTACTATTCAAAAAGCTCATGTAGTCATGAATTAATATAATTATTAGTTTTATTAAAATTAAATTATTATTAAAATTAGATTTTTAATAATTATAATAATAATGAATTCATTACTAATTGATTTTTTATGGTTTCAAAACGATTATCAATATTTATTAACAATACTATTATTAGCTATAGTTGTTGTAATCATAGTTGTCTATTGGTATACAACCCGTAATCATGATTACTGGCATCGGTTAGGTCTGACCGGTCCCCGACCGCTGCCCATTGTCGGCACAATAGCCTATATGACACGTACGCCCCGACGGGAACTGGCAATCAAATGGCAACAAAAATACGGTAAAATCTATGGGTATGTATCTATGAGTATAGATTGTTGATAATATATAATTATCACTAACATTACCCTCACCCCCACCCCACCCCCATTATACTCACCCCCACTAAATATTATCTATAGTGTTAGCAGTATAAGTAGTCAAACTTAGGCCAATTATTATTATTATTATTATATGACCATGGACCATCAATAAATAATATTCAACTATAATTATTATCCAAGCAACTAAAACTAAATAAACATTTTTTTTAAAAATGTAATTTAATGTATAAAATATAATTTATTTTATTATTTTAACACAAAAAAAATTTTTTCCAACTAATTTAAATACATAATCATTAGTTTCATTAGTGATTATATCCCCCGAAATAAAAAAAATCAATGGAAATATACTAATAATAATAATAATAATAATAATAATTACTATTAAAAAAAACTAATAATAAATAAATGTGTAGTAATTAAACTCATAAAAAAATTTATATATTTAATATATAAATTTTGATACTTATTTTTTTTGATACTTATTAAAGATTAATATATTTTAGTTGATTTTATAATAAAACAATATTAATATATTTATGATATAAATATATACTTGTATTAATTTTTCTTAATTAATTTATTATTATAATTATATTATTACTTTTTTACACTATTTTTAATTAAGTAATTAATTAATTAATTAATTGATTGATTAGTTGTTTCGATGGTAACGAACCGGTACTGGTTGTCGCCTAACCCGAACTAATCAAAGATATTCTGGTCAAAGATTTCAATATATTTGTCGACCGATTCGGTAAACTCGGTAATCATCCGATACTTAGCCATCATGTGATGCACGCCGTCGGCGACAACTGGCGTCGACTGCGATCGTTGATTACGCCATCGTTTTCGTTGGCCAAACTCAAGCAACTAATCTATCCCAGAGTTCGGCAATCGTTGGCCGATCTATGCCGTGCATTGGATGTCTACGCCATTGATGGCCACCGACAGCGGCAGCGGCCACCAGTGGACATGAGCTGTATGTTCGGTAACTATACGTTTGACGCAATCGTACGGTCGGCGTTCACAATGTCTATCATCGACCGATACGACCGATTGGTTAATCCGATTCTAGTGAATGCTATGAAATTTTTCCGTACAAATCGTTGGCCATTTGTTTCGCTGAAAATTATGCCCAATTGGTTCAATCGGCTATTGAATCTGAAATACTTGACCGACGACCAGACCAACCAGTTTTTCTTCAAACTAATCCAACAGATTATTGACGATCGGCTCCACCGCCGCCAACAGCAGCGGCCAAAAGCGGTCAACAATCCGAAGAAATCGTACGACGACTTAATGGATATGCTATTGAGTAACGCCAGACCAGAGTCGCCGACGACGACAATGACCGACAAATTGGATGACAAACAGCCAAACCATACAACAAATTACTTGTCAGACAATGAACTGATGGGCCAGACGTGGGTTTTCTTCAACATCGGTCACGAAGTTGCGGCCGCTGTCCTGTCGATAGCCTGCTATCAATTGGCCAAAAATCCCGCTATTCAACAGAAACTGTACGATGAAGTTATGTTGTTATCATCGGCTACTGTTGAGGCCAACAATGAGGACAGTCATAATGACAACATCATAGACTACGACCAGTTACCGAAACTTCGGTATTTGGATGCTATAGTATCGGAAACACTTCTGCTGTATCCGCCAGTTGTCCAATTGTTTCGTATGGCCGCCGAAGACTACCCGCTGGGCGATACGGGTATTGTACTGAAAAAAGGCCAAAAAGTGGAAATACCTGTCTATGCTATACACGTCAACCCTGAATACTATGACCGACCCATGGAGTTCATACCCGATCGGTTTCTACCGCCCGAAACTACTGGTGGTCATAAACCAATCCAACCGTACACTTATCTGCCGTTCAGTGCCGGTCCCCGACAGTGTATTGGCCAACGTTTTGCACTAATGGAAATCAAACTATGTTTGGCTGAGTTAGTCAAACGCTATCGATTCAGGTGTTGTCCGCAAACTGTTGACCTAACTGTCCAATCGCTACAAACACATGTACTAAGTATACCAACAAATGTCTATTTGGATATTGAATTGCGAGATAACAACAAAATTAATTAATTAATTAATTAATAATATTTTTAACTAATTTTTAAAAAAAAAATATATAGACTATATAAAAACATAGTTTATATATATATATATATATTTAATTTAGATATAAATTATTAGTTTTTGTTTTATTATAGTTTATTTTTATTCAACTATTTATTTTTTAATTTCTATAATTATATTGATTTATTTTGAACTAAATTTTGTTTAAAAAAAAAAAAAAATTAAATGACTAACTGACTGACTGATAATAAATAATTTGTTTTAATATGATTTTATATTTATTTATTTATAAATATTATTTTTTTTTTGTTTTTGTTTATTATAATTAATGTTTATGATTTTTATTGTAATGTTTAAAAATAGTATATTAAAATAAATATTAAAAAAAATCGGCGCTAAATTATGCTTAAAATAAACAATATTATTGAAACATCTTATAAAAATAAAATTAAAAAAAAATATGAATAATTAAAGACAAAATTAAAGCAAAATTTATAAATTATAAAAGTTTTTAAAAATAAAAAATATTAAATTATTAGAAACGATAATTTTAAATATTAAAAAAAACTTAATTTTTGACTTTAAAAATGTTTTTTTGTTTACCACATTACAAAATATTCAAATTTAAATCAAATAAGAATTTTAAAAATAATTTTTTTTTTATAAATTTAAGGTCATTTTATTAAAAAATTTTTTAAAAAAAATTAGTTTATTTTTTTCAACATAGTCAATACCCTGTAAGTTAAAATAAGCATATAATTTTTATTTTAATTGTAATATTTGATGAATTTTTCTTAAAAACACATTAAAAATTTTATTTTTTTTTGGTAATATTAGTCATTACTTATAATAAGCATTTTTTAATAAAATTGATTTTTCGTCAATTGTTTTATTTTTTAAATTTTTTTAAAAATAATAAAAAAGTTCTCAAACAAAACTAGATTATATTAGAAAAATATGCTCTAATGTTATATATATTTATATATATATAAGAAAATAAAAATTATATTTTAATATATGGTATATACTGTATATTAATAAAGTGTGAAAATGTAAGTAATTTTTTTTTAAAAATAAAATTAAAAATCTATTTTCGGTAGTTTTTTTTCATGTCTGGGCACTCAAATGAGTGCAAATATTGTCCACATTTTTGTTATAATTTAAAGAGAAAACAAAAATTTGTAATTAAAAAATTAAAAATAAAAAATATCATTTACAAAAAAAAAATATTATCTACTAATATTTTAGTCGAATATTATTTTTAGCTAAATTATAAAATAAAACTTTTAATGTTTTAAGTTTATTTTTGTTGTTAGTATTTAATTAATTAATTTTGTTTTGTTTTTTTGTTTGATTGATTGATTGAATCTCTCAGTTGAACATCTAGGACAACACGTAAGGGTACTGTTATAACATAAGTGTGTTGAAAATGTATGGTTGGATCAGTTTGCTGGCAACACTGGAATCGATAGCGTTTGACTAACTGAGCCAAACATAGCTTGATTTCCATTAGTGCAAAACGTTGGCCAAAACACTGCCGGGAACCGGCACTAAACGGTAGGTAAGTGTACGGTTGGATTGGTTGGTAACCAGTTTCGGGTAGAAACCGATCGGGTATGAACTCCATGGGCCGGTCATAGTATTCCGGGTTGACGTGTACAGCATAGACAGGTATTTCCAGTTTCTGGCCTTTTTTAATGATAATACCCGTATCGCCAAGCGGGTAGTCGCGGCCAGCTATACGATATAATTGATGAACCGGTGAATACAGTCGTAGTGTTTCCGCGACGATTGCATCCAAATACGGAAGTTTCGCTAAGATATCGTAGTCGATGTCATCGTTATTATTACCGTCAGACCCGTCGGTGTTTTTGTTGTTGTTGGCCGAAGCCGTAGCCGCCATAACTTCATCGTACAGTTTCTGTTGAATCGCGGGATTTTTGGCCAACTGATAGGTGGCCATCGTTAGGACAGCGGCCGGTACTTCGTGGGCAATGTTAAAGAATACCCACGACTGGCCAATCAGTTCGTTTTCGGTCAGATATTTTGGTCGCTGTTGTTGTTGCGGCTGTTGTGTCGCCGTTGCCGTCGACGATGACGACGACGACTCTTGTCTTGTGCTAATCAATAGCAGATCCATGAAATCGTCGTACGATTTCTTCATATCATTAGTATTATTGGCTGATCTCTGCCGATGATCATCAATGATACGACCGATTAGATCAAAGAAAAACTGGTTGGTCTGGTCGTCGGTCAAGTATTTCAAATTCAATACCTGTCGCAACCAATTGGGCATAATTTTCAGTCCAATTATTGCCCAGAGATCTGTACGAAAAAATTTCTTTGCCATCACTAGAATCTGATTGTCTGACCATTGATCGTATCGGCGAATGATTTTCAGACTGAACGCCGTCCGGACTATTGAATCCAATGTATAGTTGCAAAACACTGTTTTCATGTCTACCGATGGCCGCTGATGACCATTAGAGCTATCTGGGACAGTGTAGACATCCAATGCCGAACATAGATCGGCCAAACATTGCCGAACCCGAGGATAGATCAGTGCCTTGAGTTTGGCCGATGAAAATCCTGGCGTAACTATCGATCGGATTCGGCGCCAGTCGTTACCGACGGCGTGAAACAAATGTCGGCTAAGTATCGGATGATCGCCGACTATATCTCGGTCGACAAATACATCGAAATCTTTGACCAGAATATCTTTGATTAGTTCGGGATCGGCGACAACCAGTACCGGTTCGTTACCATAGAAACAACTAATCAATCAATCAATTAATTAATTAAAAATAGTTTTATAAATAAATTCCCAATAAGTTCCCTAAATATTCCCAATAACTTCCCGATAACTTTCCAATAACTTCCCAATAACTTCCCAATAACTTCCCAATAACTTCCCGATAACTTTCCAATAACTTCCCAATAACTTCCCAATAACTTCCCAAAAACTTCCCAAAAACTTCCCAATAACTTCTCAATAACTTCCCAATAACTTCCCAATAACTTTCCAATAACTTCCCAATAACTTCCCAATAACTTCCAAATAACTTCCCAATAACTTCCCAATAACTTCCCAATAACTTCCCAATAACTTCCCAATAACTTCCAAATAACTTCCCAATAACTTCCCAATAACTTCCCARTAACTTCCCAATAACTTCCCAATAACTTCCCAATAACTTCCCAATAACTTCCCAATAACTTCCCAATAAATTTCTAAGGCGTTGGTAGTATTAGTTATAATTATATATCATAACAATTTATACTTAAATACAAACCCATAGAGTTTACCATATTTTTGTTGCCATTTAACTACCAGTTCCTGTAGTGGCGTACGTGTCATATAGGCTATTGTGCCGACAAATGGCAGCGGTCGGGGACCGGTTAGGCCTAACCGTTGCCAGTAATCATGATTACGGGTTGCGTACCGATAGATAGCTATGATTACTACTGCTACTACTACTACTAAAACAATAGCTAATAATAATAGTACTAACAATTGATAATCGATAGCAAACCAACAAAAATCAATTAGTGATGAATACATTTATACAGTTATATCTGAATAATAATAATAATAATAATAATTAAATTAATACTAATATAATTACTAATAATAGCATTTAATAGCATTTTATAATGTTATTTAATAAATTACTTACATATTCGCATATATATATATATATATATATAAACTAATTTTTAACTAAAAATTAAAAAAAATTAAAATATTTACTTAGAAATTATTAGTTTCCAAAAAATAAATAAATTTTTATTATGGATATTTTTTAAAAATCAACTGTCTCAGTTTACGCTAAACAAAATCAATATGAGATACGATCACAAATACATTGATATATATATACATAAATACATAATACACAATATATATATATAAAAAATAAATTACACTTAAAATTGCAACTAATACTTAAACTTAAACTGTATACTGTGTTATAGGCTATCATTTTTTTTTGTGAATAATATTACTTATCATTTAAAAAATTATTTACTTTAAGCTTTATTAATTTTTGATTTTTTTTTAAATGATAATTAATACCGGTATTAGTAAAAATGATAATTGATTTTTATTATTTGAATTTTGAAATAATATTTTTTATTAGTTTTAAAAAACTTCTAAATCATTTTGATTATTATTATTAATTAATAAAATTTTAATTTATCATAATATTTACCTCTCTCTCTCTCTCTCTCTCGTATTGGTTAGAAAATTATTATTTAAAAAAAAACAATACCTGTATTATCGCAAAATTATTATTAACTATAATAATCATATTTGATAAAATAAAAAAATTAATTAAAAAATAATTATAAAAAAATTATATATATATATACTAAAGAGTATAAAACTTTATAAGTATTTTAGTTTTTAGTCTAATAATTTACAGATCAGTTTTTTTTTTTAAATAAATAATAATAATTAATATATATATATATAATCATAGATTATACTGTACTGTATAGTACAAACTATTATAGGCTAATTATTTATACAGTATAAGCTCAATAATAATAATAATAATAATAAAATGTCATCAAAAGCAACGTGTATATTATTATTATTCAATGTTGCTTATCGTTAAATAAATTTTAAAATAATTTTATAATTTTTGCTTGGTAAGTTAGAGTTATTTGCTAAGTGATGGAAAAAACAATATTGTTTTAATCTATAAAATAATAAATCGGATGATCATAAATATTAAATAAGTCAAACATACACATACACATACACATACACATACACATACACATACACATACACATACACATACACATACACATACACATACACATACACATACACATACACATACACATACACATACACATACACATACACATACACATACACATACACATACACATACACATACACATACACATACACATACACATACACATACACATACACATACACATACACATACACATACACATACACACATACACATACACATACACATACACATACACATACACATACACATACACATACACATACACATACACATACACATACACATACACATACACATACACATACACATACACATACACATACACATACACATACACATACACATACACATACACATACACATACACATACACATACACATACACATACACATACACAATAAAGACTCAATTATTAATTGTTATTTTATATATTTATTTTAAATCCAATCATAAAATTTTAATTTTTAATGTTTAATACATGTTTTTAAATGTTTTAAACAATTATTTAAAAGTATTAGTATTATTAATATTTATAATTAATAAAATTATAATACTTTTAGAATTATTTTTGAATAAAAAAACATAATTTTTCTATTTTCTAAAAAAAACTATTTCTTATAGTAATAAAAAACTAATAAAACATTTATATTAAAAAAAAATTAATAAAAATTTTCAAAATGTTTTTAAAACAATGTCATAATTTCTTCACGTTTAGGTCCAACGCTAACCCATTTAACTGTAAAATTAAATTTAATCAGAAAAATAAATAAAATTTTAATTAAAAAAATTATGGTAATCCTAAAAAAATACAACAATAATAATAATAATAATAATAAATACCGGGAACGCCAACTAATTTTTCAATGGTCCGCACATACTGTTGGGCATTGTCCGGCAAATCGGCAAACTTGCGTACACTACCAGTGCTTGTTAGCCAACCATCCAGTGTTATATACTGGACCTCAACTCTGGCCAAATCCGATGAATTAGCTTTTAATTCAAAAATAAAATAAAAATAATAAAAATAATAAAACAGTTTTTTTAAGTTAAACATTTGTTTGTTTGTTTTTTAGGAAAAAATAATTATTAATACTAAAATTTGTGGTCAAAACTATAATTACCGGGCATTGAATGTGTATATTGTTTGCCATCTAATTGATAACTGATCCCAATCTTGATCACCGGTATTGCGTCCAAAACGTCTAACTTAGTTATCCCTAGACTTTATTTATTGAATTTGTTTTGTTGTTGTTGTTGTTTGATTCAAACAAACAAACAATCAATTAATCAAAATCAAACAATTATATATATATTATGTAAATTAAATATTTGATAAAATTAAAATAATAATAATAATAATAATAATAGTAGTAGTAGTAGGAGTAGTAGTAGTAATAGTAGGAGTAGTAGTAGTAATAGTAGTAGTAGTAGTAGTAATAGTAGGAGTAGTAGTAGTAATAGTAGTAATAGTAGTAGTAGTAGTAATAGTAGGAGTAGTAGTAGTAATAGTAGTAGTAGTAGTAGTAATAGTA